ATTCCCAGAGCCTTGGAGGGGAAGTGACTACAGACGCCCCATCTAGAGCGGAGAAGTCCAGTCTTTTACTCTCTGCATACAGACCAATGGTGAGTCTCTATATTGATTACCATCTGCTTCAAAAGCAGCTTTTCTGATGGGGGTTGAAGGAAGCCCTATTCTTTGGGAATAAGAGTGAGAACTTAGTTGGTAATTTTATGTCCATTCAGGAGAATGGCAGACTTAGGTAGCCATGGCTTATTTGGCCTAGTTAATGGTTCCAGGCAGATCTTGTGGAGCAGGACATAAATCTAATCAAAAAGTGATTATGTTGCTCCTCCTACCCTCTTCTCCTAAGTCTTGGGTTTAAAAGCATGTCCCTCCTCCCAGCCTATTTGGAAGGCTCAATCTCAAGTAGTACTACTTACTCATCAAGGACGGAAACAAACTGACACAGTGGCGTGAATCCACAGAAGATGTACAGGGACATTTAACACCGGTCACAGTCTAGGAACTCGTCACCAATGACCATGTCATGGAAAGTGACCAAACCGAAGCACAAGGTGCCGTGAAGTTGAAAACTGTTTATGCCAATGTGAAGTCAGTAAGCGTAAGATAAGGGAAAGAGATGGGGTGGATTGAAGAGCAAAGCAGGGTTCTGTAAGCGAAAGATGGGGAGTGGAAAGTAGTGTGTAGAGGAAGAAAAAGGAGCAAGAGGTTAAGGAAAAAAAAGAGGGTCAAGAGAGACAGCTCATGGGGTAAAAACACTGGCCGTCAAAGCTTGGTGACCTGAATTCAATCCCCAGAATCCAGAGTTTGAACTCCCAGCTGGCCTCAAGTTCAAGGGTCATTCTCTGTCGAGATCTGTTCCAAGATGGCCACCTTTCCCCTACTCCTTCCCAGAGTAAGGCAGTCTCAGGCTGCTGACACCTTTAGTCAGTGTCTGGCCCTCTGCCTTCCCCAGCTGCCTCATTCAGGGGCTGTTGCAGGACAAACTGAAACTCCCCAGCTTCACGGTTTCCAGATCTTTGGCCCCCTGGGTAACTCGGTTCTTAATAACAGCTTTTCTCTCACACCCAGCACACAGCATGGCAACATGAGATCTCGCTTTCCCTGACCAGCTGAGAATCAGTCCTTCCAAAACTTGCAATTGGCTTTTAGAATGGTGAGGGTCACGGGCGTGAGCTTGGGCCTGTCTGAAGTGTTTCTGCTCACAGGCCAGCTTTCATCTGGCTTCACTCTTGGAAGTGGCTTCTTCCCACTTCCACTCCCCACCCCCACTCCTAGACCCTGGGGATTTACAGCTGTTTCACTTCCTTCTCAGTGTCTCCGTCCCCACCCCACCCCTACACATTTCTGGTAACCTTTACTTCCTTTTTGAATTTGGAAGCCCTTTCTCTATTTCTTTGTGGTTGTGTTTGCTCTTATTCTGACCATCTCCTTCCCTGGCTCACACGGCCTCCACTCAGCCAGCCACCTTACTTGGAGGCTCTAATGTAACATCTTTGATGTTGCAGGAAACACTACACGTTGTCTATATTAATTCACTCATTCTTAAATTGGTAATAGTGATGGCATCATTGTCCACAGATTTCGAGTTCTTTTTGTCATTTGGAGACTTTAAGGCAAATCAACAGTATTCATTGAAAGTACATTTTAAGCCTTAAGAGGTTTAAACAGGTGGTTTGTTTTAAAGATAGTGACATTGGGTAGCTTCAAGGTTCAAGCAGGGGTCAAGGCCAGACAGGCAGGACTACAAAGCAAAGCTGGTCTGTGCTCAGGCCCTACCTGCAGCTCTGACTCAGGAAACAAGAGGGAGCCAAAACAAGACTTGCCTGTCACAGAATCCCAGTTATCCCAGTGTCACCTCCAGCAGAGGCTGCCTGCATGGTCTGTCTGTGTTAATTCAAGTTGAATGTCCGCTCGCAGAAGTTAGTACTACATACAACATGCAGAACATAATTCTAATGCTGCCGGCTAGGAATCGTGGGCCTGGGGGCTGATTTAGGGTCACAGTGCTGGCCCCAAGGCGAGTGTCAAGAACCTTAATGGTATTGATACAGAGATGATTCCCTCGAATGATTTTCTGGGCATGCTATTGTGAGGGAGTTGTGTGATGCTCACACAACCCTGGCCACTTTTAGTCAGGACATACTGCTGAGGCCTGAGGTTGTATTTGAGAATCCAAGATAGCGGTTGGCCTCAGGAGCTCCTCTGAAGTTTTCTGTTATTCCTACAGGGCATCTAGTGTCTAAGTCCTAGAGCCATGTTTTAGAGACACAGATCAAATCCTTCCCAATAATAATGATGATGGTGTTGGGGGTGGGCTCCTGATCTCAGATTTAGTTTTGTTTAAAAAGAAAAAAAAAGACTGAAATATTTTCTTCTGGAGTCCTTTTGAGAAATGTGTAGATTCATCGGAGTGCCACACGACGTAGGCTGAATCCACAGCTATCCCATCAGCCTGATTTTAACCAATGGCAAAGGACAAAGGAGAAGAAAGCTTACGGGGTTTTTGTTTGTTTGTTTTTAAATATGGCAAATAGATCACATGTTGACTTCTTGACAATTGTTAACTATTTAAAACGGCATTGGCTGTTGGAATTTGGTAAGAGCCAGTTCTGACTTACCTCTTTCTCACTTCCTCTTGCATTTCTATTACAATCTGGGGATGCTCAAGTTTTTTTTTTTTGTTTTTTGTTTTTGTTTTTTCCTGTTAGAAAATACAATTTCGGAAACGCCAGAGAGTAAAGGTCCTGGTTGGTGATCTCGTCAGATTATGGAGCCTTCTAACTGGAAGAGCTCAGTTTTGCTGTCCACAGGTTTGTTGACCTTCATTAAACCCTATTCTGAGGGGGCATGGGGAATTAGAGCACCTGAACTCCAGGCCCCATGTCACTAGCCACTATGGTGGCTACTCCTCCTCACCCCTTTGCATTTAAAATGCTGTTTCTCCCATCTCCTTTGGGGTTCTGTTCATTGCTTTTTCTTTCCCACATTGTTGGCACAGAGTCCCAATTTCAGTAGTAACAAGAAGGGCTAGATAGGAAGCAAATGCTGACAGGCTCGTTTATACTCACGCTGCCTGGGTATCACGGGAGCAGATGGCAGCAGGTGGATCCCTACCTGCTCCTGGATGCTGGCTCACCTCCGCCAGCGTGAGATGTGATGTGGTTAGTGCCAACAGCGGTTTTTCTTCACTTCCATAATATACTGTATCTACATTTGTACTGATCTTTTTACTCTTCATTTGAAGAGTACCCTGTAACTTACCTTTGCAACAGTTATCGTTAGGGTTTCTATTACTTTGATAAAACACCATGTACAAATGCACCTTGAGGAGTAAAGGGCTTATTTTTCTTATGCTTCCACATCAGAGTCCATAACTGATGGATTTCAGGGCAGGAATTCAAGCATGGCAGAAACCGGAAGCCATGGAAGCCATGAAGAAGTGCTGCTTATTGGCTGGTTCAGCCTCCTTCCGGCCCCAGGACCACCAGCACAGGGGTGGAACTGCCCATAGTGAGTAGGACACTCCCATAGGAATCATTAATAAAGAAAATTGCCCACAGGCAAACTGGTGGATGCATTTTCTCAGTTGAGGTTCCCTTTCAAAATGACTCCAGCTTATGTCAAGTGGGCATAAAATCAGCCAGCACAGCACTTCCTTTCCTACCAGAACTCTGCTACATGTAAGTTTACCATGTGTCTCTCTTAGAGAACAAGCATAGCTCTTGAGCCATCACTTCTGACTGCTGCTCTGTTTGCTTAATCACCTCACTGAGGAGACATTGAATTCTGTAATGAAGTTCAGGGCTAATGGGAACTCTTTTGTGACTTAGGGCTTGGAAGGAGAGTGCACGCACCATGGTTGGGCCTCACGATTTCTGGCCCCAAACCATGCCTCTTCTTTGTAATTTTGGAAAATTGGAGGCATGTTTTCTCACATGACAGCTAGCAGTCAGCCCGCTAACAGTCCTGGAGATGAGACCCATAGCACTGACTGGGTTTAGACACAAGGGCTGCCCCCAACCCTGGACAAGGGATTGCTCACAGGGGCATGCTGAATGTACCAGCTTGAGAGGTAGTGGTGGAGACTTCTGCATCTGTCCACAGCAGATGCATAATAGGTAGTATGATTCAAGCAGGAAAATGAAGCATGACATTCATTTTTTGAAAAAATTTTATTAAAAAATTAAAGTGTGTGTATGTGTCCGTGTGTGTGCGTGTGTTTGTAAAGATAAAAACAAAAATTAAAACTAAACCCACACAACTGACATATGCCTTTAAAATGGCAAGCATGTGACACTGGTTATCAAGTTCTCCCAACCACTGATCTAGTCTTTCACATCAGTTACAGTCAAGGAGGGCTTCCAAGGGAAGCCATATGTAAACAAGTCATCCGTACTATGGTGAGCAACAACTGTGTGGAACTCTCAACTCACTGAGAGCCTGAGCACAGGCTAACCCCAGGAGTTGCGTCTCCATGGATTTAGAGTTCTGGTCTCAATGTGGTGTTTGCAGAGGCTGGGGGAGGGAGGACAGCAGAGACCAACGGTGTCAACAGAGGATGGCCTTAAAGCACCTTTAGATCCTGGACCCTTTCCCACAATTCAAGCCAGTAATCCTCCAACTCTGAGAAGATGAGGTGGTTCAACTCTGTTGATTCTCTAGTTCTGTGTTGGAGACTAGTACCACAGGCGAGTCTGTGCAAATACCCAGCCTGAAAGGTATTAAAACCACTGATACCTCCTAGAAGTAAAGGGAATCTCCTGAAAGTCACTGTGCTTTTGTTGGCTCAGGATGAGGCAGGGGGAGGCAGCCCTGAGCAATCTGTCAAGAGCTGTTCAGGAAGTAAATAGAAAAGAGTTGATTTGAGATCTCAGGACAACCTCCAAACTACTAACAGGCCGACCCCACTAATCACAGTTCAGTGAACTTTGTTTCATCAGTGCCAGACAGGAAGCTGCCGTTTAAATAAAACATAGGACAGTTGTGGGTCTTGACTTGGGAAGACGTACTGAATAAAACATCTATTAAAAAAACTTTATTAAACATAGAGCGCTATGCCCAAATAACTTCCCAGGGTTAGGAAAGCCTCCTGGAGCCTCACTGACAGCATGTAGATATCGTGACATTGATTCCAAGGTTCCCATTATCTGCAAAGAGATGTGCTATGGCTGTGTCAAAAACAAGGCAGTCACTGTTCATGATGGCTGCAGCTACCCCATCGTGAATGGACCGGGGTGTGGCCTCCCAGGTCAGTCTCCTCCGGTTCCCGTTCAACTCCAGTCTGTAGGCAAAGTTCTCAGCTTGCTTTCGGGTGCCGATAAGGAGGACGATGGCAAAGAACTGCTGGTGACCTTCGTACTTCTCTTGCTTCTCAAGTACCAGCATAAAGTGGTGGCCAAAACAGGACTGCATCATCACCCAGTCCACAGCCCCTGGCAGGTTAATGTCTGTAGCCAGGAAGACTATGTCCTCTCCCTGAAGGGTAGTGATACTCTTGTGAGCGTGCATGAGATGGGACATCACAGCTTCCAGGGATCCCTGCCACTTGCAGGAGGCACCAGGACAAGGGCAGGAATAAGGACGGTATTCACAGATGTCTTCATGCTCTGGTTTCTCTGTATGGTGTAGAGTCAGGGAACAGCCCGTGGTAGCATACTGCAGAGACAGAAAGTAACAAACTGTATCATGGGGTCTTCCCAAAATCTCCTCGGTGCCAGCATCTATGCATACCTACCCACACGGGTTTCCTGGGCTCAAATTCTCTATCTAAACTACTTTTGTTCATGGAGAGTCAAGCATTCCAGACAAGTCGTCGTTTCTATTCATTGTCAATAACGTCATGTGTAAAGTCAGCGCACTGCTTTCTAGACCGCCATCCCAACAACGGTAAACGACGAGGGTCATTGTTCTTTTACATACACCAGACAAGCAAGACGACTGAGATAACACGGCCCTTTTTCTCATTTTTGATAAGCTCTGATTCCTTTTAAGAATTTTGGGAGTGGGGTGGGCAAGGGAACACTAGACCATCTCTAGGCTTTTCCTGCAAACAGATGACGTTGAAGACAGCACAGTTTCACTCTACTCCCTCCTGACTAAGACTAACGTCAGGTCATCTGGTCAGTGGGCAAGGCTCCCTTGTAGCTCCCTGATTTGACTGCCAGCACAGCTAAGCCTGGGTGGGAGGCTGGGATCCCCTTTTATTGTCTTGCTGTCACCTCTGTCCTTACTGCCCCAAAAGTGCTGTGCCTACAGGTCTTTGGTTTTAAAGAATCACATTCAGGGCTGGCACCTTAGCAGAGGTTAAGGTCCTTAAAGCCCATTAAGTTTTCCCAAAATTGCTTCCTCATGGTCAAGCACACACTTCTTGCTGAGGAGGCTTGTGGGGCCCTCACTCCAGGCTGGGAAAGCAGGAGCTGAGTGAACATTTAGACACTGCCTTACTAGGACAGGAACAAAATTGTTCTTTTCTTTCCCATTCTCAGGAAATTCTCAGTAGATATATCATGTCTATCATGGCAGAAGGACACACTAAAAGGAACTAAGTATTTCCACTCTCAACCTTCACAAGAATGATGATAGTTAATTCTAGTTACCAAAGGGAGGATCGATCCACAAGCAGATACCTACGCAGTGCTCTGCATTGTGGTCACAGAAGAAAATTAAGAACTGGCAACTGCTCTTTAGGTAAAAGGAGGAGTTGGCCTCCTCTGTCTGGAGCATAGGGTGACAGACTGTCTAGCTTCCTGCACTTACTCTCTAGCCCTTCATTCAAGCCTGCAGGCACCAAAGAAGGGACAGCAGCAGGCCACCTTTCTAGGACCCTAAGATAAAAAAGCAACCACCAAGCTCACAGCTGTTTTTGCTTCCCTTCACTCTGATTCATAATCGCCTTATAAACTTAAGACAGGTCAAGTTTCAGTCCTTACAGAATGTCTTTCTAGCCACCAGAGGGGCCTGAGTATCTTCTCCACACAGGACACCTCTCTGAGAGGCCAGAGAAGCCAAGACAACAACAGCTGCTCCCCACAGGGAGTTCAAAGACACTGCAGGAAATACAGAGCATGGTGGGGCGTGTGAGGATGAAGTGGAGGGTAGGGATGGTGGTGTGGCAAAGGGTGGGTACGAGGGCACGTGTCTGTATGCCATTGCTCTGGAGGTGAAGACAGAGGGTTGCATGCTTCAGGCTCTTCCTGAATTATATAGAACTCCTTTTCAAACAAATAAAACCAAGCAAGAAAAAAAAAAAAGCAAAGCTTATGTCTCCATTACCTTGGCTGAAGTATTTCTATGTTACCTGACAGAATTGTTTGCTTGTATTTCAGAACTGTAGACTAATTTTTAAAATTCAGGTAAAAAAAAAAAGAAGTCTTGGTGAGAAGGAGAAATATTTCTATTTACATTCTGTGCTCTCAACTCTCCAAAGCCTCAAAAAGAAGTCCCTCTGGACTGTTTTAAAGCTGGGGTGTGGGCAGGACATAGAGCCTCCTGTGGATGGTGGGGGAGGCATTTCAGTCCAGAGTTTTTAAAGCACACATAAACACAACAAAAATAGCAAGAACGTCTCAGAGCCTGGCTCAGTGTTTGGATCTGAAGATGGCTTAGAATGGGCTGTTGACCTTAGCTGTCAGGATGAAGCCCAAGAATGAGGCAGAGTCTGGCACAGTGCATCTAGGATAGCACCCTCTGGGCTTCTCCCCACAGCCCCAGATCACTCCACCTCCCAGAGCCAACACCCATAGCAAGTGTTTATCTCACCAGCATCGCTTGGTAACTTGCCCTGCTTGGGCAGGAATGTTTATATGCTGCTACTTGGCTTTTACACACTTCTTCAGGGTAAGCCCCTCAAGTCACACAGGTAAGACAGACATTTTCTTGCACTCATGTGGACAATGGCATTCTAGAAAGATCTTGCTACAGGCTCTAATAACTTAAACATGTTTTTAAAGCTTTGGATGTTTTATAGATTCTTTTAAACCAGCTGAATTTCAACACCAATCTATTGTGGTAATTCAGGACCACCAAGGCCATTTCTATGGTAACTAGATTAAAGATGATCTCCAAAAGGAAAACATTCCCACTTTGTTTGTTTGTTTTTGTGGTGCCTGTGTAAGTCAACTCACCCATTTGTCTGGCTTATCCATGTTATATATGCTATCCAATTGACACAGTCATGGCTCAATGGTCTAGGGCCATTTGAAGCAAATGATTCTCTTCCTGACATCTGGACCGAGAGGGCTTTCCATTTACAGATCTGGTTCTCTGCTGTACCCAAATGCTGCTGAGAGGAGCCCCTGGGCTCCTTGGCAGAGAGGCGTGTGTGTCCTGGGACACACCCACAGCTATAAATGAGATTTCTCCTTTGGGAAAGATGTGCTCATTTTCCCCAAAGAGTGGAGGTTATTTCTAAGCCAACCTCCCTAAAGAAGAAGTAAGAAAAAAGAAGAAAGGAATAGAGAGAAAAAAAGGAGACATGGGAGGACCAGCTCAAGGCTAACCAACGTGGGGAGGAGGAGGAGAAAGAAATGTCATGCCTAGGATATCTTTATAGCAGCCTGTCAGGTGCTGCCACTCAATGGTTCTATGCAAACACGTTCTGCCTCTGGAAAGGCTGTGTGTAACCTGTAGCTTTGTGTTTAAGTCTTTGCAGAAAGCAGTAAATAGTTTCCATTCTTTCCCAGGCAGGACATTTAAGGGCTGTATTTAAGGAAGAATTTAGGCAGGGTTGCCCTCTTTGGGTCACAGAAACCCTTTCATATACAAATACAAAACTTTCGTACACAAATGTGTATAATGAGACATCATGGCATCCTGACCAGTAGATATTTGTTTACCTAGTAAACAGTGACACTGTTGTTTATAAAATGAGGCTATAAGCTAAATACTCTCTGCAGACTGCTAATGTATGCTATGGAAGGTTTAGACTGAGTCATTTAATCTGTTTCATTAAACTTGATTCTGTGTAATTCCAGAATGACACACTGAACACCAACAGTCGGTCACCCACTACAACAGAGGTGCCAGGAGCTCTATGGCAGAAGCTGGTTCCTCTGGGGCATAACAAGGTAAACACCCTGCCTCCTTCTGCTTACCTCCAAGGAAATAGCTCAAACTCATTAGCAGGATAGCTGCCTGTGTCTCAAATGAGAATCTTTCCAAATAAAATAAAATAAAATAAAATAAAATAAAATAAAATAAAATAAA